AAATTTTGTAAGATTCTCCTCAAGTTTTCATTTACGTTTAGGCCTCTGAGAAAGGTCAAGTGGCTGAAAGGCTGTCGAATAACTAGTCCCATGAAGTTAATGGACGGTAGAGAACACTAGGCTGAAATAGTATAGATGCTAAGGTTCCTGAGAGAAGCTAACTGGAAATAGTTAGCAAGTGACAGGCGGTCAGATGGTTCGCTTTGGCAGTGGAGCAGTCTTTTTGCGCCCAATGCACCGGACAACTCGTCCTCAAAACTTCCCCTTTAAATGTCTACTTCTCAACCCTTTATATAATGCAAGTGAATCGACAATTTCGGAGTTATTCCCTTGAAACCGATCTATTCCTTATTGTATTGAAAACGACTAATGTCCGTTGATGATATCTCGCCATACCATATGGTTATGGCCGATTATACGTTTGACCTTGTCGATAACGTGGATGGATGAGTTTTACATGGTGTATGGAACACAATAAGGCTGAATGGCGAACGAATCGACTGTGTGGGTGTATGCGGCAGCCAACGGCTTGGAACAGGCGTTCGTTCGTTCGTTCGTTCGTTCGTCGTTTTTCAAGGCTCAAGGTCGGCTGTCGATTTAAACGGACTATTGTCTGCTCCAATCGCGATTGTCAAGTCGCACGCGCGAAAAAACGCGCGAAAAACCTCGTTTCGCCGCGGACTGCGCACGATTTTGATTCTTTTTCGTCCTGCCCACACTAGACTTTTCGGGAAGGCTAAAGGTCTTTTTGAATTGTCGAAAGGTTATCGAATTGGGAATGCCCATATGGGAATTTGTCTATCGTCCAGTGACAATCTCGTATGATTTGAAATTGTGACAGTCAGTTGGTGCACCTCGGAAAAGACGTTTATTCGAATCTTCGTGACATAAGCGTGGTTAATTTCATCGTTCACTTTATCCAGGCGTCTATTCATTGTTTATTTCTTCGCGATTGGTTGTTCCTACTTCTTTCTCCTTCTATTAGTGCCAGATTTATTAGGTTGGCAACTAAGTAACTATTAATATTAATAATAACTATTGGTATTAATATCTTCTCCGTACATCGGACATTTATATTAAAGGGTAACTAGCTGTTTTTAGAAAGATTTGTATTTTTTAGATTAGTTGCCTGGGTTTTTCATGGTCCTGGGTTCTTCATGGTGAATAGCTGAACCGATGTTCTTTTTATTGTAAAAAAGCGTTTATTGTATTCTTTGGATTGAGAATCTAGGAGTTTGTCTAACGAGCCTCGGAAACACCTCTTAGGTTGTAAATAATGAAGTGTCTACCTTTTTTACGGTACATCAATATAAAAGCACGAAGGTGCACATCTTTTTTCTTTCGTTGTTTCCTTTCCTTCGATTGTTGTCGATCGTTGAACGGATTGAACTAATGATCGCTCGGTAATAAGTGAATGCGTTCTTCATGGTTTGGTCTTTCTATCTTATTTTTAATTACCTGTCGTTCAGCTTTCCATGTTTCGCGTACCGCAAACACCGAGGGAATGTGGTCAGTTTCAGAGATCTTTTGAGAGTTTTTAGTTTTCAATCTTGGGAAGCAGAACTTTTTCTGATGTGTTTTTCATTCCAAATCTGAACATTTTTTACTGCGGCATTATTTTGTTGTGGAATAAGTTTTTCCACGGGTAGATTATTTCTGAAGGGGAGGGGCAGGGGCAGTTCCCGTTCCTTATCTACCATATTTGCTGTGCGATTTTGAGTCAGCATCGATTTTCCGTCATGTCCTTGTCTCCTTTTGTGTGACTGCGGAAGTGTTGGAATCTAGCTAGCGACAGCCGCTCTCTCTATTGTTCGATCTTTTGGATTTTATTCTCTTAATCCAGAATGGTTTTGGTTGTGGTTCAGAAGTTTCCTGTAGTTTTGACAGCCATGTTAAGCCATTGGACAAAATCCATGAATCAGTTACAGCTTTCAGTACCTATTTTCCCGAGAATCGCAAAACCAGTTAACTATTGGGGAAGAATGGGAGCATTAAACGAGCAAAATAATGAACTGCTGGTTACAATAAAAGTGATCAATGCTTTTTTCATTTTTATATGAACTTTCTTCTGTCTAATCTAGTGATGGTGTGGTTACTGAAAGTATATGCTCATTGGTGCATAAGCCAACGGTATTCTACCACACGCTAATTTTCACTTGTCGGTAACCCCACCCTTTGTCCCCGAATCCCCTCGCAAAATTGCGAAATAGTTGGAACTAGTTTCGTGGGTGGGTTGAGTTTAAATTAACCTTCCAATTTTATTCTCGGGCCTTCAAAAGGTACCCGGTAAACTGTTTTCTCCATTATACCTTTTACTCCCACCCTCTTGCCTATTTATTTTTGAAAGTATTCCGGATAAATTTGATGTAATTTTGAACTTTTCGTTCGGAAAGCAGTTTTTTATAATGCGTTTGTGGATGAGAAAGCTATCGGTGATAACTGACTTGTGAATATATCAATCCACATTGGGAGCATATACTTTTTGGTACTCGTACCTCCGATGTATAATGTTTAGGGAGTATTCGTGGTTCACTTCCTATATTCGTATGAACCTCATTTCAATTCATCTAAAATTGCATTTGAACAACTTGTCAATTTTTTCTTTATCGTCATTAAATTTCAGAACACATTTACAGCCAACTTCAGGGTGGTGGTTTCTTAATAAAATGGGATGTTGTTTGTTAGCGGCTGGTAGAATATAAGCATAAACAACCCCACTGGCACTGCCCTTGTCTGGGAGATTGAAGCCACAATTTCACTTCGAACTCCCATTGGGATCATCTGTTGGGTTGTTGTTATGAGCTTTCGCGACTACGGCCTACTAGTTTTTGTTTGAAGTTTTAGAAGCTCTAGAAAAATCTCGGCTTGAGCTGGATCTTGGTGTTTTTGGGCAATCAGTCGACGTCCAAATCCGTTCAAAACTCTTAAACTTTATCGCTCGCGTAATGATTTAATTAGCCATCACTAAAGGCCCTTAAACATGTTCCAGGAGGAACTGGAACTCCTTCGACAGGCCGGCTCATTACCCAGCTTTGAAACGACCTTTTATTGCTTCTTCCCTCATCCCTTCCCCGATGGAACTTGTCCTCAACCTGGTTCCAGCCCAGTGATGTTCGGATTTTCTTCACCAAACGTTCTTTCCTAAACTTTTTGATCGGACTAAATTTCGCAAAGCTTGCTTATGTTGTCTTTAAGTGACAGAATGGCCCATCATGTCAGTTTTTTCGTGGGCCATTTGTGCTCTCTACTGAAACAACTCGCTTTTGAAAGGCAGAGCGGCTTATCGAAATTTATGGCGTTTTAATGCGTTCAAATGCATTAAATTTTACTGTCTCCATTCTTTAATGGTAGTTTAAGAGCACTTGCTTCATTTTTCTGTCAAACAAAAATCTACAAGGATAGGTTTAGCGGCTTTCGAGTATCCGCTTGGAATCTCGAGTGAAAAATGAATATTGCCAATGACTACATGACAAGCTTCGTTTTATAATTTTTTTTAATCACTACAGATCTACTGGTTAGACGTTTTCAGCTCTGAGCACTTCTTCAGTCTGGATTTCTGGAGTTCTATCGCTTGTTAATTCGCGTGGAATACTACATTTCTGTGGGACAGATGTCCTGTTATCGGCAGTTATTTTTTACACCATCTTTGTAAACGATAGTGTCTTTGGCATACTCAATCCCTATTTGGGTTGCGCCCCGACTTCGACTTCCATTCATGATCGTAATAACTGCTTCAATGCGTGCTGCCTATACAATGATTCCTGATGACCATTCCATCTGTATACCATCTTTGTAGACCCCAGGCAATCTGTAGACCATCTCTGTAGATCTTAAAAGGGTTAACGCCGCACTCATAGCCGACATGCTCATCTGGAGTCAAGAGAAGCAACAGTTTTAGAGCATTCATTAGTTACAGCACATGTGACGCGTACTCTTTGATATCTAAGAGAAAATGGTTCGTTGTAAAGTAACTTAAAGTATTGTTGTACAAGATTGAGAAGGAAAAGTTATGGTAGTAGGTCGCACAAAATTCCATCTTGGATGCTGGTTCTAGTCGCTCGCAGCCGAATGATTGCACAGATAATGGTTTCTCCACCTAGGTTGGGGACAATGGTTCAGCACTTGACCTGCACTTTGGGTGGGTATCATGCCTGGCTGGGGCTGGCTGACTGGTTGTGGTAGCGATGGCCACTCTGCATCTCTCGCCGCCTGCACTGCCTTTTGCATGGTAGTCGGTCGGGACGAGCAATCAATGACAAAGACATTTCCCCTCCCAGCCACCAGCACGTTCACATCCATACATGCGATTTAATATAATAGTTTATCCTTTATCTGGCTGTCTCTTAATTCTTTCATTCTGATTCTAACCAAGCTGTGGATTTGCTTTCTGCTTTCTGCTGTTTAGTTCTCCTTTTCGAAAACATTCTTTCGATATACGTGAATGCCTACTTGTGCAAAGAAATTAGATTTATTCGCAGATTCAAATATATTGCGTTTGAATAGATAGCTTGAAGTTAACAAAGCTCAAGTTGGAAAAATATTTCCCCTCCGGTTTTTCTCCTTCCATGCCATCATTTTTTCGGCTATCGGCGGCGTGGTTGCGAGTTTTTCAAGAAATTGACGCTCATGCCATATTTTTCGTGGTGGTTGTAAAGAACTCACTTGGAAAAAACTGTCTAGCCAACAGTTCTAATTTAAATTACGAAACTACAATTACTAAAGCCTATATTTTGTTTTTTTTATTTCAATTGTTCCTTGACTGCCTGAAAATTTCTTAGCGCACAATAATATGGGTGTAAGCTCATAAGTAATAATTGCAGGTGAAGCTGACCAAGAGAACCAGGTGCGGTCCACTCCAGGACTGAGTCGTGGATCAAGTATGCCAGCGCAGAAGCGCATACCGACGACAATTAGAACCAATTGTGAGTTTTTTGAAATTATCTCTTTCTCTTTTAACTACTTCACCAGTTTTTACCCTTATTGTTTTGATAGCCGAGTTATTGTTTCGAGAGACTCCAATGAGCAAGTTGTCGGACTAGCTGGTGCTTACTTTTTGAGTGGTTTACACTTGTCCGACGCGAATACGCTTTTTCTCACAGACAATCGTGAAGTTATTGATTGCTCATAAGTGTTGTATAGAAGTCAAATTTTCCGTAGAAGTGTTATAGGAATGGGGTGAAACGAGGATTTGGTCATTATAAGGAAAATTTTCATTGGGAGAAATAATGGAGATACATACCGAGTATTTTTTATTTGTCCCGTTTTATCTTGATGAACAGAAACTTACTTTGAATATTAGTTGCTTTACTATCATTTCCTTAGAATCAGCGGTGTAGTATTAATTACTCAGTGAAATAGCGCCGTCAAGGGGGTTCCATA